GTTGAGGGTATCTGTATGTGAACAGGCTGGCTGTAAGAGGTCCAGGGTGGTTACTGTGCTGCTGAAGCACTTCTAGGCAGAGGATTCCTCTGCAGCATGAAGTGTTGCCCAGATGTCATTATTGGCTGCCCTGTAGTGACATGTGGATGGGGATCCTCCTAAGGGGGTTGTGAGTTGAAACAGTGACAGGAGGACACTGAATATACTGTTAGTACAGTGGGAATTTCCAGAGGGAATGGGAAAATCACTATTCTTCCCAGTGTGCCCTGAGAGTTGGAGGGTAGAAAGTTGGAGGATTTTAATAGAGTACAGGATCCTGTTAACTGATGTGATACTGCAGCTGAGGAGCCCTCCCATCTCTCTTTCTCCCTTGCTCCTTTGTTGAGGGCCGTTATATGCAGCATTAGAAGATTTTTTGACATGTAAGCACAGCAGATGCGGTGACAGAGGCCTCCATACTGTGCTCAACCCATCCAAGCTCTCACTGATGTGTGTCTCAGGGCTGTTCTCTTCTGCTCTGTTGTGCAATAACATATCAGAGCCCCAGAAGGCTCTTGGCAGAGTCTGTGCTACATTCTGACTTGCCCAAGGGACAGTACTACTTCTCCTTTTTTTTTTTTTCCTCTTTTCTCTACTTAACCTACCTCCACGCTCCTGTTGCATTAGATGTGATCCAAACAGTGAACACTGAGACACTAAATAGAATGAAAACTGTATGAATCCCAAATGTGCTGAGGCTGAATATATACTGCTGTTTGAAACAAGGTTTACAGGGAGAGAAAGTAAACCTGCTGTGGGAGGAGGAATAGGGAAGAAGGGAGTGAAGGGCATCTGTCCATAACAGGAATTACTTCCTTCCTGGTAGAAGAGAAGAGATGCTAGCTGTCCGCAGTCTTCTTACAGAGGATTGGCTTGAAGGGCAGCGAGTAACTGAGCAGGAGTACTGTTGCTCCTCAGCAGAGAGACTGGCTACAGGAGCTGATAAGGGGAAGTGTTTGTCCTCAAAAGCAGCTGTGTGGCAGAGGAGCCAAGAGCCTCTTTCACTGCAGTCATTTAAGTTTAAAAAGCAGGGAGGGTATCTGTGAAAGCTGGTGATGTCACATTTTATCCTTTGCCTATAATAATCCTTGGGAGAGAAAATTGCCTGAAAACCAACCCGTATGCTTTACACCAGTTTCACATACAGCCAATCATATGGCTTCATGTCCAATTTAAGCATCCACTCAACATGTTTTTCTAATTGGTTTTGAGGCTGTAAGGGTGAGTGTTCAAGGTTGTGTTCTCTTGTTGATTTAAGAAGCACAGCCATTGCGCTTGGCTCAGGTCACAAAATGAGGAGCTTGCATGCAAATACTGATGGTTGCTAGTTTAGTTTAGTTACAGCCTCCTGCCTTTGTTGCTAAAGAAGTTCTGCTGGCACTGTTGTATTGTGAAATTATGGATGTTTCAAGACTCACCATTGTGGGTGTATTGTGTCCTGGTAAGGGATGCTAAAGACAGGTATCTTTAGGAAAAAAAAGGCTCTAGAGGCTATTGCAGAAATGGTGCTGTTTTCCAGTTAATGTTAAAATAGACCCCATGCCCAAACCATCCATCACTTCTAAATCCTGGAGCACAAATTGGGATAATGTGGCTGAGCCCAAGCAAGGGCCACCGTTCTGTCTGCCTGCACAGCTGAGAAACTGAACTGCTCCTCCGTTGGGAAAAACCACGGATAATTTCCTGGCTAGTGTGAGAGGGCAGCTTGCAGGTGGGATATGAGAGGCGAACAGTTGATTGCAGCAGGGAAAAAATGACACATCTGGTTTGGCTCCAGGTTGCTCAGGAGTAGTAGCAGCAGTGCCCCATTGGAGCTCGGGGGCAGAGGGGCGTTCAGCCAGTTGGACCTTTGCTCTAAAGGTTTATTTTGTGTGGAATTGTCACTGAAGGGCATTGGGCCTGTGAAGCTGGATCTAAAAGTTGTTAATCCTGAAAACTCCAGGGCATAGCTGTCCTCATTTTCAGTACAGGGTCTGCCTTACAAGCAAACTACGGAGACACAAGTAGCCATAGATTTAAGTGTTCGTTTTCCACAGCGTTCCTGTTCCCTGGAGCCACTTAAGCAGAGTCTGGTGCAGAATGTGCTGGTGTGGCAAAAGATTGGTTGCTCTCTGAGCGTCGGTGTAGAGTGTATCCTAATTAGGAGCACTGCAACTTCTTTAGTAACATGTGGTTTCCAAGCAGTTGGATAAATTTGTCTGAGCAGTGCACACAGTGACTGTAAACCTGGTCGATTAGCTCTTCTGACCAGCTCTGAGCCCACCACTGAGTTCCTTCTTCATGTGGAGCACGTCCCTCTCCTTCTTGTTCTTAGGGAAGGAACAGCATACATCAGCTGTGAGTGGGCTATTATGCAGTGCAATTCAGGTATAAAGATTGACTTCAAGCAGTGGTAATCTCTCGTCTTCTTTCTGACGGGAACAGGAAAATTAAACATGAGCAAATTCATCACGATGGCTGGAACAAATGTAGGAGCTGTTGTTGGGATAGAACAGAGCAACAGTTCTCCTTCAAGTGTTGTCACCAATATAGAGCACTGCAAGTGCTTCAGGTGGTAGCTGAGAAATGCTGCAGTGGGCAGTTGTAGGGTACTTGTCCCTGTTAGTCAGTGAGTGCTCGGGCTCTAGACAAACAATGGTTAGCCTCGTTCTCTTAAAAATAGTGTTTCCCCATCACGGGCAGCTTTCACGTTTGGTAGCCTCTCGTCATGCTGTACGATCACCTGCTGGCGAAAGCCTTTCAGCAGGGTTCTGGTGGGAAAGCGAAAGGCGATGGGATGAGCAAGAGGCTTCACAGCATTTGTTCTAGGAAGTCCAGAGTTCTGCTTCTCTGCTTTCAGAGCCCCAACTGCTAGTAGTTGGACAGCAGTGCCTGGTCACGACAGGAGGTTATGTGGACTCATGTGGCCGGGAAGGAGGTAAAACCATGCTTATAACTATTAAATAGAGAGATGGCCAATAAGCTGCTGTGACAGAGATGCAGGGCAGCTGCCTTCAGTCCAAGGCACTGACTGCAGGAGGCTCTACTTTTTTTTGCTGTGGAGGCTTGGTTACCTTGGCAACCTGTTTTTACCTGGATCTCTGCTCTGGTGGAGAGCCCATCTGTACCTGCTACTCCTTTGTTTTGAAATGGCTTTTTTACAGAAAAATGTCTGACAGGAGTATTTCCAGAGCTGGATTATTGTGGAATCCAGGCTCTGCTTTTGGTCACAGGAGTTTCAGTCTGATGAGGAGGTGATGACGGAATGGGGAATTCTGTGGCTGGGTTTGAAAAGGTATTAATATATCTGCTTTGTGAGGTGGGCTGCTGTCATGGAAGGGAGAGATGCTACTGCTGATTGTTAAATCCTGGAATAGCTCTGAAAAATAAATCACCGGCGTGTCTGGAGTTACAGAGAACTTTGATCATTCTGGTTTGCAGTTCAGCATCAAGCCACCAGCTGGTAGATTAAACTGAAGTGGCTGTCTGTGATGAGTGAATACCCACACGAAGGCTGTAGGCTTCCCTTCTGGGGGACGTATATGAGCTTTTGATACTCCTGGTGAAGTTCTAGTATTGGAAGGTAGTGGCTGCAGGACTGTATTCAGAATCTGACAATTTTGTTTAATTCCAGGTCTCACCAGTCTCTTTACATCTGTATTTTTACTGTAGGTTTTTTGATTTTTGTGAATACTTTGTAATCCTGAAGTGGGGTGTGTGTATCTAAATTTTGCCCTTACCTCATTCCTGTTGCCTATGCTTTATCTCCTCCTCTGTCATAGCCTGTAACTTTGGGCTGAGATGAATGGTCTGTTTTGTATCCACTATGGGGTTCTTCCCAAACTGGAGTTGGTTTTCTTGCAGGTTACTGGGTAGTGTGTAACACTTCTGTAGCAGTGGGGGGAAGAACAGATTAACAAATTCTACTTGTACCTATAAGAAATTGGAGTAATGCCTGGCATTACTCTGTTAGATGCAGTTACCAATTACCTACTGGTAATTAAGAACCTTTTTAAAAGTCAGTATAGTGTTCCAGCTTGACTTTGCAAGCTAATTCAGATGTTTTAAGTCTTGAAATCTGTGGACTTCAGAGCAGAGTACATTAAGAATCTGTTCTAGGCAGGCATCAGCTTTCAGTCCTGAGGAGCTATAATGCAGAAGAAAATAGCTTGCTTTTTTTTTTTTCTTTTTAAATTTTCAAGAACTAGAAAAAACAAGATAAAGAACTTTCCGTTTTATTCAAATGTATGGAATACAATTGTTTGTTGTAAAGTCTGTTTGATTAAAGCTCCTTTAGCCAACCTTTTTGTTAATTCCCACTTTCACTAACTGATTTTGGGTCGTTACAGCAGAAGCTTCTGTTGTTTGTTTGTTTTGGTTTGGTTTGGTTTTTTAAGACAAGTGCGAACCAGATCTGTAGTCTTTACTGCACAGCCCTAGATAACTGACACAATAAAGTACTATATCCTTCCTTGTACTATTGCAGCAGCATAGAGCTACAGAAAAGCTATGCTGTGGGGTTTTTTGTTACTTTTTTTTTTTTAACTGCATGTATCAACAAGAGTGACAGTTTGGGGCTGACTATGCGTACATCATGTTGGTGATGTATGAAGCAGAAACGAGATGATTTGGATTCTCCAACCCCAAAGCTCACTTCAGGATCTAGCAGATAGGAAAATCTCCTGTGAACTGACTAAGGTAACAAATCTTATCTTGAGCCTGAGCAGATTTGATTGAGAAGTCAGTGAAGGAGAATAAATGTGGGACAGTAAAATAGCTGTTGCTTACCTGTTCAGCACAGTATCTTAGCCACAAAAAACCCCACAAACTCCCCATGTAAATTGATATATTTATGAGAGGTGAGCAGCTGGCGTTTAGGTTGCTTTATACTAGTTAATGAAAATGCGTCTGTATTTAAGTGACTTGTTGAGAATGGCTTTGCTTTTAATTTTGTTTAAAAAATACATATTATTTTCTCCTAGCTTTGATCAACTTGTTGAAGTTCCTCATGTCTAATGAGACTGTGTTACTGGCCAAGCACAACATCTTCACCCTTGCTCTTATGGTGAGTACAGACAAAGCAAATTCTCTTATTTTAGACAACTTAATCTTGAATGGATCTTAGGAAGGAGTCCAGGATTTCTGGACTGGTAGGGAGATATCAGAGCAAGGCCACAAATCAGAGGAATATCATTGTGGTTAGTTTTGCTAGATGTTTGAAAGGGCAGTGCTTTGACTCACTGTAGGGTCTGCTCATTGAAATAACAAGTCTATGTGAGGAAAGGCTTAGTTTAATTTTCCAGATTTGATAATTTTTTTTCTTGTTCTGTGGCCCTTTGTATACAAAATAATAGAAACCTGTGTTCCTAGCCCCAGATATGATAGTATTTAAGCTTCTTGTCTGTCTTTTCTGTACTATAAGGACAATAATAGATAAAGCAATGAAGTAACGTAATACTGTGTAATGCAACTGAGAGCTATTTCTTTGAAGGTTTTGGGCATAGTTTGTATTGTTTATGTTGCAGAATAGATCTTGTGTAAATATTCCTGTCGTAACTTCTTTTCACTTCCTTGTATAGGTTGTGAACCTGTTCAACATGTTCATCACTTATGGAGACACCTTTCTCCCCACTCCCAGCAGCTATGATGAGCTGTATTATGAAATCATTCGGATGCATCAGAATTTTGACAACCTTTATTCTATGGGTAAGTACCTCCTGACTGGTCAGGACTACTGTTGACTGGAAGTGAGGGTGGTGGCAGAGGGATGTTTGCGTCAGATGTTTTCTGTCCGCCTGCTACTGATGTATGTCTTGGTGAGTGGACATGTTTTGTGTACTTGGACATGTCTGGTAAATTAAGAATTGAGAGAGGGATAAACGTGTCAAGGGAAAATTTTTTTTTTTTTTGTCAGTAAAAATAGGAACAGACCCATTACCTCTCTAGCAGCCACTAACTGTGGTAGGAAATAAAAATTTGTTAGCACAACAGGGTATGTGGTATTTCGTTTATCTTCGTGTAGTTTGCATCTATTACATTCAGTGGTTTCAAGTCAGGAGGCAGGTACATGCTGCAGAACCAGCCAGCATAGAGAAACACTCAAGGCAAACAAGATTTTGGAAAAGAATTTGAGAAACTTTTAACAAGAAGCTTGCTGTGCTAGACAAATCACATCTACTGCAGTCATTGCCAAAACAAACCAAGAAAACAGCCCTCACAAACCTGCTTGCAGTGACAAGTGAATCACTGGACTGAAGAATGTGCCTACTGGCAAAACAGGGAGAAGCTGCCATCCTTCAAAGAGAAAGGCATGCTGGAATGCCACCAAGTGATACCCAGCAGGGAAAAGAGGAACAAAGGTAGAGCAAGGAATGCATGGAGGCATAATCAGGCAGTGTATACGCAAGAGCCTGCAGTCAAGGGTAGCTGCAGCAGCGCTGGTGTAGTGCCTGCATGCTTGAAACTGTGAAGAAAAGAATATAGCTGTGTTCTTTGTTTGCTTTGTTCTGGAAGGACCTTTCTTCCCTTCACCCCTGCTCTCTTCTCAGCATGATTGCCCAATGAACCACAGGAGTTAATATAAATATATAAGAGGAGTTAAAGGGCAGTGGGAGACAGACAGTTGGCCACAGCACACTTTTGACATGGGAGAGAACTGTCCTCACCTACATAAAAGTGGCTGAATACTCGCTGCAACTGCAAGCAAAAACGAACTGCCCTTTTGTACAAACTTCTTACAGTTTTCATCCATTACATAAGGGATCACTTGGCCGTTTTTGTGCCCTCTGAGCACATAAGATTTTTTGCTAACACATTTCCTACTCCCAAGAATTGCAGCTAGTAAGATGAGGTGCTTTTACTAGCCAGTAATTTTTCAAACCCGTCCCGTGGGGAAGCTGAAGGAACGCGGAATGGAAGAATAATGCACTCCAGTACTTACTCAGTTGGGCTGCAATAGGCACATCTGACCTATTGAAACAACTCCTTTGTCACATGAATGTTTTCCATCCTGCTACACAGAGCAAACCGCTTTGAATTAATGCTGTAAATGCCTGAATGGAAACCTTCTCCGAATACATGACTTCAGATACTCATGTACAGTACCTACTGTTTGACAAAATAATGCTACTCGCAACTGATGTCTCTTTCTTGCAGATGACATGTAATGGTAGCACTAGAAGTAAGAAGGTAGCACTGTCTCAGGTTGATGAAAGCCACAGTTTAACCAGCTGTCCTGACAGCTTCCTTTTGCTTGTCAGTCCATCTTACTGGGACTACAGTCACCCTTCTGTCCCCTAGCCTTGGGACATACATTAGCACAGATGAGGAAGCTACTCTGTCCATTAGTTTTCCTGTTAATGTGGTTGAAACTTTCTACATTGAGAGTGGAGGGGAATCTAATTGCCTTTGTTTTTATTTATTTATTTTTCTTGTCTTGAATCTGAACTTTATCCAAATCTGCAGGACTGAAAGCTTCTCCATGCAATAATAGGCATGAGTATGCAGCCTGTGCTTATGGATTCACTTGTAGCATCCGTGTTTCTAGACAATCCTAAATTCAGGTGACGTGCTGTTCCTTCACTCCTAAGTCAAGGGTGAACATTTCTTGTGGAGTGCAACCTCCAGAAAACCCTGTATATACAAATTGTAGAAAATTGCCATCTATTCAGGCAATATGGAAATTAATCCAAACATTTGCTACAGGTTCTGATATTGTTTTGGTACTTACCATGAGACGTACAGGTAACTGCCATCGTAGAAACACTACAGATTCTGACCTAAATAAATATTTTTGGTACTCTGGCAGAAAAGAATTGGATTCCCTAGAAATTCTTCCTTTTGCAGAATGTTTTCAGATCTGCTCCGAAGTCTGCCAGAGACCATCTGTGCAACAGATCAACACCCTTGTTCCTACAGGGAGCATTTTTCCCTAGGCTGTTGTGTAATTTCTCCCTGAAATTCCAGATAAACGGGAAGGTAAAGAATGCATCGCTGCTGGGGTGGGTTTAAATTGCAGGGTGTAGTCTAGCTCAGATGGAACCTTGCATAATAGAAGCTGGAGGAGAACAGTGGTGTGTGGAATAAAAGGTACCATGGACCTGGGATGCTGCCCTGTTTCTAGGGCAAATGAACTTCAGCATGTGGTGATGAAAGCAGTTAGGAGGATGTAGGCTCTTCTGACCGCTCTGCTTCCTGTCTGTTGGCCATTATTTTGTTCTGCTCACCTCTTGTGTGTTCCTTCTGTATCTTAGATGGGCTTTGAAGGGAACTTCTGCCCTGGATCACAGATTGTCTCAAAGATCACCTTTGTTTTGATGTGGTTCTCATACTGTCATCTCACCAAAGCAGATTTTTTGGATATTTTTTATTAGAAAATTGCCAGTTCTGTGCCAGCACTGTAACTGTCTTTTCCTTTCAGTTCTAAGGCTGTCTACCAATGCTGGTCAATGGAAAGAGCCTGCAAGCAAGGTGACCCATGCATTAGTCAATATTAGGTAAGGAGTAGAAGTTAATAACCATTTTAAAGATTCTTGTGTCCTGTGTGACTACATTCTTATCGTGACACTTTCACATTTGTTGTATTGAATTTGATTTTGAATTTGTTCTTTTTGTTGGGCTAAATTGCTGCTCTAAACAGGGCCCACTGGGGTAAAGAGAGGATCACCAGGGTTTGATTGTCTTCTCTCTAATAATTCTCTCGGCTCTTCTGTAGACTGAGTGCTTTCAAAGCATGGCACAAGCTGTAATGAATTAATCCTCACAGCATTCTTGGGAGAAGTTATACAGTAGGGAACAATGCTGTGCTGGCAAAGCAATTGTGGACCTAATGGATTTCTGTTGTGTGATTCTATTGCCATTCTATGAAGCTATGAAGGGGACTGTAAGCCAGCTGTAATAAGCAGATTCAAGGCCTGTTTTAACATTGCAAGACTTTTGTGTATTTAAAACTGATTATTTAGGAACATTTCAGTATTCTCTTAAACTTCTTCCTCCTGTTCAAGGGCAGAAGTTATGCTCTACTTCTAAGGCTACGGGATATCTAGGGGTGGTTTTGTGTGATATTCCTTCACAAGAGCAATAATTTCTTCTCCTGGCTTCTGAAGCAGCTAGTACTGACCAAACTGGGTACTGGACAAGAGGCTTCTGAATCTGATTGACTGGAAAATGGAAGAACGTTGAGAGAGAAAATGTACTGTTTATCTCTGGCTTGTAAACAAACCGTAAAATATATAAGTATTTATACTGAAAAAATAACTGTCCCATCACTTTCCTGGTCACTGCAGACACTTGGTGTCCATGCCACACCAAGTAGCTCAGTACTGCTACATTGCTAGCACTTGTCATTTCCTCACTACAAAAGAGATTGTGTAGGACAAACTCTGAGGGCATCTTTCAAGTCAATATACATCTTGCGTGTCTATAAACCACCTTAAAGGTTCCCTTAGTAAGTCTGTAAGCTTAATAGCATCACGTATGGTTCCAGAAGATTTATTTTGCTAGTATCCTTATTTTTACTTTTTGTAAACAGACATAAATGAACGCTCGTGGGCAGATAACACGCTCGGCATGAAGCAGCAGAGCAGATAGCTGTTGGCAAATTAATGTCATTTAATGTGACACAAAGTGTCTGCCCTGGGAATTCTCCGTATACCCAGGGAGAAAAGTCTAAACTGGGAAGAGATGAAAAAAGTGAGTGGTCACAGAGGGTTTGTGCTCCCCTCTGGTTTGTGCAACCAAGATTTTGCATTGGCTCATTTCCTCTTGGCTTAACAGCTGCTTTTGTAAAGATGAGCATGCCACTGAGACAAGATACAACCGGAAAACTGGCACTGTGACAGCCCTCCCTGGACAGCCTATATCAGACACGTTCGGTGCATGGTGCTGTCTGGAGCCAGTAAAGCCTCTCAGATGTTTCTCTTGTAGGCTTTTGGTAGCTTTCCCCTGCTCTACCAAACTGCTCCTATATGTCAAAATTTCATCTAGCCTTAGAGGTTTTCATGACTGTCTGCTTTTCATTCAGTGAAATTAGGAGAGGTCTAAATTAGAGACGATTCAAGGCCTGGAGAGGGATTAGAGTTCAGAGAAGTTAGTCTGTTCAACTTATCCCATTTCCCCTCTCTCTCAAAAAAAAAAAAAGAGGGAGGGGGCAGGTATTTCATCTACTGGTTTGGTTTCTTCTTATGGTGAAAATATTACATTTGAAGGGTTCTTTAACTGAATAGATTTCAGAGTTGAGTTTTTGGAAGCTGGGAGAATCCAAAGGTACTGTGCTTTTGTGAAGGTGATTGACAATGTCGTTTCAAAGTGGTGACTAGGACTAGGTGCCTTATTTTCTTTTAGAAAATTCCAAAAGACTTGTCTCCGTACAGGGAAAATGGATGAAGTGAAGGCCCATTTTGGCCTAAAGACTGAATTTAGGTGTTTGAAAGTTGCAGATCATGCAGCAGAAGGACAAGAGGATGATTCTTCAAGGAATGCCTTCAGCCTTCCGAGCTCTGAAGCTTTCTGCAGTGTGTTCAGAAAGACCGTTTGTCCTGGTCTGGCTGCCCCACTTCTGTGGCAATGTTTGTGGGAGGACTTAATACAAGGGCCTGTTTTCTTCTGGTGTTGGGTCAGGAGTGCAAACTGGAGCCTTGTACGCACACACTTGTGCTGCAGAGAGCCATGGAAATGTGGCAAGCCAAGTCACCAAAGAGAAAAAGGAGGGAGGATGCTTGAAAAGAATAAACCATTCAGGGCTGTCAGGCTGATGGCTTAATTGGAGAACCACAGTATGTTAATGAATGACCATATTAACGTAAGATGTAATTATTTTATGCATTGATAAGGACCTGCTGGCTTGAACCTGGCTTAGCTCCCCATTGTCTGGATTGCCTCTTTGTTTATGGTTTCCTCTTAGAGTGGTCTTAGTGTACTGTTTCTTACTTGGATGCCTTTGCCATGAAGGAAATGAGTTCAGAGAAATCCACCTCACACTGGATTTTTCCCTCAACTTGTTCCATCATTCTGGAGAGTTTTCATGAGCAATGATTATCTGCTTTTTGCTGTAACAGTGCGGTGCAAAGTCACGCTTTGGTTTACGCCTTCATGTCGTTACAACAGCTATTTAAAAATAAATAAATAAAAATTGTCTTTTCCTTACCCTAAGGCTTTTGGTGGGAAAGACTACAAATGCGAAAACATCTGTGGGTGCATGTGTGTGGTAGGCTTTAACACAATCCTAGTGTACAATCTTACCTGTATTTCTGGCAGGAGAGGAGCGGTGAGTTGTTCAGTTTTTCAAGGCTGCAATGCATTTGTGTTACAGGAGTAACTGTTGGGGAGACACGTAAACCAGTCCTGCTTGTACACCACAGTGCTGGATTGGCGAGGTCATCTGATTAATTGCTTTAATACAGAGTCAGGATGAGTAATACCTAGAGAATCTTTGACACGTTCTTGTTTAAGCTCAGCCGCGGAGAGAGAGATCGCACTTTGTGTATCCTGTTATGGTATTAACTGTACTTTTTAGTTGGACCCTATTCTCCACTAGGCAGTCCGACTGGGTTTTGTTGTTGCGGATTATCTGATTTTCCTAGTCCTTACTCCAATGAAAAGAGCAGCCAGTAATGTTCTTTTTGAGTATTAAAAGGCAGGGAGGCTATTCCTACTTTCTCTCCATACCTCTCCTTTTTACAGATAATTCGTAATTTCTGTTCAACCTAAAGAAAAAGAAAATTTGAAGATGACAGAATAATAATAGCCTTATCTGCCTGAAATCTTACATACCATACTGGAATGAGTGATCCCTATTGCTCTGCTGTCCCATAATAGTGATTATAACTTCTATCTGTGGATTTGTCTCTGTGGTTTACATAAATAATTGAGACATGATGGACTGCAGGATGTGGCTGCAGCGCTGATGGGGTTGAAATAAGAAGCTGCAGCACTTAGTGGTTTGAAACTCACCTTCTCACCTATGAGGAAATAAGCACATTTTGAGACAATTTTTTTTAAGCTAATGAGCCTCTTTAAGATAACATTGTGCAGGTTTGCATTTAATGAGAATTTTATTAACGCAGGGTTCAAAGGGGCATCTTCTGATCGCTTACTCAGTGAGGAAGGTGGCAGCTAAATCTCTGTATTCCTGTATTCTTTTAATAGACTTTCTCTTGATCAGGATTTTTTCGAGGTGAATAAGTAGATTAACTCAATGATTAATAGACTGAATTTCCCCATTGTCTGGAATTCAGTCCCATCATAATTTTTAAAGTAATTTTATGTTTCTCAGTGAAACACTTTTAACAAGCAGAGAGTAAGTTTGTAGGATGGAACTAGGTGATAGTAATTTATTTTTTTTTAAGGTGTGTTTTATGTGCTGTTATAGCATATGCTGCAATCCTCGCTTGGCTGCTTTCATTCCCTCTTCCACCTTGCAGCTACTTTTGTTCTACGTGAGCCACCCTGTGTGATATTCTGTCTTTGTACAGAAGGTGCTGCTTGTCTCAAGGCTGCTTTTGGGGTTGTAAAGCAGAGACTGGGGATATGGAAGGACCATTTAAGGCATCGCATGGATGTGTATAAAACGGTTATGCTCACTGCCGGTCTGGGCAGGAGAACTCTGAAGGAACATTTATAATTTTACTCAGGTGAAAGAAGGCCAAATTGGGCTGTGCTTGTTTGTCGTAGGATTCCTGGCATCCCTGCTCTGAAGCTATAGCTTGTGTTAAATTAGCAGCACTTCATAGAACTGCACTTCCTGAAAACCTTGACAGAGGAGGAGGTTCCAGTCAGATATTTGTTAGAAAGCGGGTGGCTGCAAGCAGTCCACGTAGTACCTTCAGCATTGTTCCTCTTTACAGCAAGGAATTTAGCATCTGTTCATGAGGAGAGAAGAGCTAAATGCTGCTGACCTAGTCGTGTTGTAATGGATGGCTGTAGCATTTATGCACGATACATGAAAGGGGAACTGCTGATAGATAAGTGCTTCTGTATAGAGCGGAGGCCTACGGATTACAATCAGCCAAGACTGTGTGTGTATATATATTAAAATATGTATTTTACACTTCCTCCTTCACTCTCCCTCTTTGTACAGACTTAATGGACACACATGTTTCTTGCCAGTATGAATAAGAGAATGAAAAAGGGAGAGCAAGCTTAAAGCCTGTCTACGACAATAAATGGTCAAGAAAAACTATGTGCATATATATAAAATATGGATAGCTGTGTGCATATTGTATGTATATGCACATATATGAATGTGTGTATCCATATACATATGGATGGATATCTGTGTATATATAAATACGTGTACATACATATTCCCACACATGCATATACTTCCAAATGTGTATAGATTTATATATAAAACACACACAAACATCTTGCCTTTGACAATGGGCTAACATAAAGCCATAACTTCCAAGCTAAAAAAAAAAGACACTTGCTTGTTTCTGCCTTCTCCAAGCTGAACCACGAGTGTTGGCTAAGGATGCTTCGGTGTTGCTCCAGGTGC